GAGCCAAATCGACCATTTTAGATATTTTGGGTGTCCTTGTTTTCTTTCAATCCAGGACCACAATCGTACTGAGCCCCGTAGGGGACATGGAGAAGAAAAAAATAATTATTTGAAAAAAATAAGTTTTGCGAGATCTCGCAAAACTTTTCATTTAGCTCAATGTACTCCCTGGTCAGTTCGGCTGCGATGGCAACACAGAAACCACAACAATGGAGTGGTTCATCGATTTTACTTTGAGCTTGGCCTTAAATATAAAGATATAACATCAGTGCTTGGCAATAGGCACGGGTTTCACACATAGACTCTATGGGTTTCACATAAGTGAAGACACCTCAAGACAACACTCAGAGCGATGGGACATGCACGTCCCTCTGCAGATTCGAATTTCGCGGATCAATAACTCGTGAACATAACGTTGTAAAAATACAAACAACATGACTTTACAATCATAGCAAGGTAGACAACGAGCTACAGAGTCGTTTTTATCAGAACAGTTCGATACGCGCCGTCATCCGAGCTAAACATCAAGAATTGGTCACAATCTGCAGCTTGAGGAGGGAGAGGAGTCCTTAGGGACCGTCTACAAACTGAAACGGGGTTTTGCGAAAAGTATTGCGAGATCTCGCAAAGGGGTTTTGCGATATCTCGCAAAGGTTTTGTGATATCTCGCAAAACTTTTCTTTCTTTTCTTTTTTTCAACATCTTTTTTCTTTCTTCTCCATGTCTCCTAGGGGGCTCCGTAAAAAACAGTAGTCCAATGTGCAAAAAGACTAAAAGTAGGCTATGAATGGCTGTAATTTAGAAGGATCAAAATCAAGTATGTGATATCTATGAACATATATCAAATTTAATATCAAAGATATTAAACATTCTCTTTTTTGCAATTGAAAAAAGGTCGATTTCACTTAAAAAATGAATTCCAAGTTGTTCTGTAGATACTTGTCCAAAGGTTGCATCATGTATCCTTTTCATACTAAATATAGTCTTCGGACACGAACGGGTTAACCCATTAGGCACAGTCAGAGCCGTATAATATAATCTAGAATATAATTATATCTATACGGCGCTGGGTACAGTGTGTAGTGTACAGTGTGTTGTTCTGCTCCCCTCCTGCGATGAACACTTGTAGGTACAACACCCACTGCGCATGCGCATAGCCTGTATCTGTTTCCAGACATCATCATCATCACAGGTTGAGCTGCACATCCTCGAGGATCTGCTTCCTCTATTTTCTGCTTCTTTTTTCTGCCTCCGCTGCCGCTTCTGCTGCTGCGGAGCGAAAACTACAGCACGGAGGAAGTAGAAGCCATAAGATGAAGAAACGATACGTGGACGCGAGCAGGCTACGGAAAATGAAAAAGCTGAAAATAACGGAGAAGCTTTCTGAAAGGTAGCGTCGCCTGGCGGATGATGATGCTGCTGCTTTTGTTGTGGTATTCCGTCGTCTTTGTGTAAATTTCAGCCGTCGTCATCCAGCTCACCTGTCTGCCTCGCATCACTTCATCCCGTGTCTCACATTTTATATGTCTCAGTGTGCAGCTTTAACACATTCCGTTAGGATTTCACTGCGCACACACACACGAGCGTACAAAATGTTGCGCGAGTTACTTCACCCGACATTGTTTACGGAAAGACAGAAATCAGCAGCTGTGCAAGTTAACATCGGCCTGCTTCCACTCAGAGATGTTACATCTGCTTTATCTGTCTCCTTGCGCACACAATTAGGCCGAATTACTGCACAATTAATGCTCTGTTTTTATTCACTGTATTTTGCTACTAGGCTTAAAAGAAGCACAGGTCGTTTTGCACATCATTTGTAAGCGTCTAGACAGTACAGACAAGAAAGACTGCCTCAGGAGAAAGAAACCACTTGTTTTAAGTGTGCATTGTTTCACATGAGCAAGGCAGTAAATAAAATAATCAGTTTAATAGCTTACACTGTATTTTCAAAATATAAACACTGGCTTATATTTTATTGAATTTGTAATCACATTTACAATTTTTGCTTCTTTTATTGGGGAATTTTATGTTTTTTTATACATATTTTTTGTTATATTTGGCAGCTTTGATAAAATACAAATTAATTAAAATACTCTTCTTAATAGCACAAGATATATTTGAACTTATTTGATGAATTTAACATGCAGTAACGCTCAATTTCTTTCTTTAGTTTAGTTAGTTCCTACAAATTAAATATTGCCTTTTTGAGGTGAAATTAAAACACACTATTTTAAGTAACCTATAAGGGTAATTAGAACTCATGTGAATAATTAAAGCTCTTTACTCTTTCAGATAAAATATTACTTTTGTTGCATATTTAGCTTTTTCCTCTTATTATAAAATACATGTTAGATAATTTCAAGTACATTTGTTAACAGTGACAATAAAAGGGAGGGTTTTAACTCATGTGCAGGAGGAAACTGGTGCTCCTTCTCTCCTCCAGATGAAATATTGCCATGGTAACCAAACAAAGAGGGGGTGATGTGATGTGCAGAACAAAGGAGGAAAGCAAAGCTCCTGTTGTGCTCGTGGTCGCCCGATGAAACGAATGAGGGAGCAGTCATTGTTCTGTGGTGCCTCTACTTAAAAAGGACGGACTGCAGTTTTAAGACGCAGCTGCTCAATTATAGGTTCAGCAACGAGGATCCCATTTCCTGCTTTGTTTTGGATTCTGTGTGCCTTCAACGCTTTGGCTGAAGAGGCTTCGCTGTGTCTGAAATATCTCAGTCTAGATAGAATACACATTTGTTATTCATTCTTCCAGAGTATGTTCATCCCATAATGATGTTTTATGTATACAATTTACTACATCTACTAGTCAACTAGTTGGGATCTATTAAATTAATTACCAACCTTTTTGATATTTCTTGGTTTTGAATAATTGAAAAATAAACAAATAAATAAATAAATGTGAAATTAAGCCTCCTAAATGAAAAAGTTTCTTGACTCATTATTTACCGTGTGCAAACTAAATATTTTTGAATTCTGACTTTTGAGGATGTTATCTTGGACTTTAGGAAACACTAATCAAAGTTTATTATTATTTTTTATAGTATAATTACTAATTAGTGAAGAAAGTAATCATCAGACTAATTAACAATGAAAACATTTTTGACTGTGTATTTGCAGTGCGTACACCTTCGTGAAGTTTATGATGATGTGGATGCTGGTGCTGCTGGCAGATTTCATCCTGGAGTTCAGACTGGAGTACCTGTGGCCCTGCTGGCTCTTCTTTGGGAGCGTTTACACCACGTTCCACTGCCATGGGCTGGTGAGCACCCTCCTGAGGGATTCTATATTGTGTGCCCAGATAATGATAATCCAACATAATGTTTCCATTGCATTTAACTGCAATTAATATGTTTTCTTCTTTCTTTGTCTGCAGGCTATTTGTGTTGTTTTTGTTTGTGCTGCCTTCACTCTGGACATCTTTTGTTTAATTTTTGTTCCTTTGCACTGGCTGTTCTTTGTGGCAAGCACTTATGTGTTATTCAATTACATATGGCACACAGGTGAGACATTTGGACACATGGAAATATTGTTTGTTTTGTTGTTAAATGTCCCACACAAAATGTAACCTAATTATATGTTGTATATATTGTTTTATAATATACATGCAGCGTTTACCATTAACAAATCCTGAAAAAGGCATATTGTTGTATCTGATAAAGCATTTTATAGTGTGTAAATACCAATTTGAGTGAATTAGCTCTGATTTTTATTTGAACAAGGACCCCTTTACCCCCATCACATCTGACTATTTGATATTTCTCTGCAGAGAAAGGCATCTGCATATCCACGGTGTCCCTGTGGATTCTGCTCGTCTACACAGAGGCGTCACTCCGACTAAAAGACCTTAAAGCCTCTCATGCAAACCTGTCTCATCTTTTTGCTGCACACTGGTATGTTCATTCGACACAAATTACATTACATGTTACTTGTTCGACGCTTTTATCCAAAGCAATTTACATACTCAATACTGTGGGCAGTCCCCACAGGAGCAATTTGGTGTGAAGTGTCTTGCCCAGAGACACAACGAAATGCTGATTGCAGTGGGGTTTGAACCTGTGCTCCCCTGACCCCCTGATCCCAACACCAAGGCTCTATCCACTGCGCCACACGCCTCCCCACAAATCTCCCTTTCTGCCCTTATAAGAATATCCAGAATGTATATTCCTTACATTCAATTAATTGAGCTGCAATGAACTGCATTAGTATTCCACTTTGATGAATTCTCTGTGTGATATAATGAGTCAAGCTGGATGTTTGGGCACGAAAGTATAAAAGACTAGATTCACATGTATGCTGCCAAGTAACGAATGAAAGACATTGGGTGTGTTCTGCTTGCCAATATGTGATGTATCTTTTAAATGTTGTACTCATATTCCCACTGTGTTGTTTCCCCCCTTGGTTCCAGCATTGGGTATCCTGTGGTGTATCTGGGGTTTGATGCCACGTGCTACTTCACTAACATCTTCAAGCTGCGCATTCAGAAAGCTGTGCAGAGTGAGAATGACTTCCACATGCACCTCCTGCAGCACTCGCTCCCCCCAGGCCTGCAGGTCTTCCCAAAGACGGGAACAGATGGCAGCAGCAGTGAGTCTTCTGCACACATTTCACCACTCACATGTCTCTACCATTCTTACAATCTGCAGGGTGTTCCTTATTCCTGACATCAGACGATCGGGACTCCAAGTAATATTCAAAATGAACGTGTGGAAAAATCTACCAGTAACTGTTGTTCACAAAGTTAGGCGTCAAGTAAATGTAATAACCATAACCAATGTAATTTCTGCCCTGGTACAGATCCTTGCAAAAAAATCCCAAATATTATAATTTTCTCAAATATTGTGAGTCATATCAGAATTGGAATGTCACTACATTTACTTTGGTTTGCAGTTCATATTTGTAATATCTTAATCCAACAATCAGAACGTTCTCCTCTGTGTTTCCACACTTCAGTGAGTCATGAAATGGCATGTATTTTTCTTTCTGCCTGTATTCACAGGCTCTAAATGGAAGACAAAGCCTGAGTCCACTCAGTATCAGTGTCAGAACGGCGCTGTGCTGGCCACTGACGAGGCTCACACCGTGGACTGCCTCCAGATCCGCAGCGAGGAGAGAGCGCCAGAGAAGGGAGCGCTGGAGGGGAAGTCCGCTGAATCAAACCGGCGGCCATTACCATCCAAACCTGGTGAGTCCAGAGATCTGCTTCCCTGCGGGGCAGCCGGACCCGAATCCTCCACAACCCCGGAAAATCTACCTCAAGATGAGCCAGGAAGCAAAGCTACACGGGCGGCTAAAAGCTCCTCGCCAAAAGCCAGCAGAGGCAGCACAAACACTCCCTCCCCCCCCGCAGGGAGGACGGAGAAGAAGCAGAGATCCAGCTCGAAGACGGTCAGCCCCAACCGGGACGTCCCAGAGAAGAGCAATCACCACGCTGAGCAGATGAACAAGTACGCCATCAGTACCTTCAGCATGGGATCGTGACATCGTAGCTTTTTCCTGAAACTCTTCCTGTGTTTCCTCCCAGGCTGGAGCAGGATCTGAGGAGGCTGCGGGCCGAGCTGCAGCTGAGCCGGCAGAGCGAGCAGGAGCTGCGCAGCCACGTCTGCAACCTGACCAACAGTGAGCGCAGCCTGAGGCCAGAGGTGTCCCTGCTCAGACAGTCCAACATGCTGCTCCAGAGCAAGTGAGTCATCCTGCAGATCCTCAGCTCTCTGGCTCCTCCTGTGGGCGGCTGAGCACATGACATCAGGCTATAAATAAACCCTAAGACAGGGATGAATGCATGCAGACACACTGTGTGTATCTTTGTGAAAAGCAGACCGTTTGTGGGCTGATGTTTTAATCCTCACACAGATTGATGTTTCTCTTTTTCAAATGGAATTCATATCTCATCAAGTCATATTTTATTTTGAAGGATTGTGGCTTACAATTCTCATCCATAATTCTCATCCATAAATGAATGATAGCTACTTACATTTTACTGAAGTCTTTCTTGAGATATTCAATTCATGAGAATATAAAATGTTTTATTTATATAGTTTGGGAACCTTAAATGAGTGCATTTCTCAATTTTAGACAGTAGCCTAAATGTGTCTCAGTTTAATCTGGAACAACACATTGCTTTCTCGATGCTCTGAGAACATGACGTTGTTACATCGTCCATCCAATCACAGATGAGTCATCAACACATTTCCCACATCAAACCCTCGTCCACAGCCAGAGGCTCTAAATCTGCTCTGAGATGAGCGTTTTATGCAAAGCTTTGATCAGCAGCAACACTTCTGATAAGACATGCTACAGTTTTTAAAGCAAGGTGCTCTCCAGCAACTACAGGGATTCAGTTTGCTTCACTGTGAAGTTCATCTCAAAACGAACCCACTTCTTTTCGGTCTTTCACATTATGCAAAGTACGATTAACGCTTTTCCTTCAGGGTTCTGTGCCTGTCTAAAACCAAGCAGAGGGACAAACAGAGCAGCGCCATGCTGGAGAAAAAGACGAGAGCGGAGACGGAGGCCAGACTCTTCGTGGAGAAACAGTTGGCTGAGCTTCAGGCTCAGAAACTGGAGGAAGCAAACAACACAGCACGGAGTCTCAACAACAGGTAAATCACACTTAAAACGCCTCGTTAAGGAAGTGGCTTTGTGCCTGGAGAGTAGAGCTGCATCTGCACCTGAATGCTTCTGAGTGTAACTAAATGCTGCAGTGAGTGTACGGCCAAACCTTTGAAGAAATAGTTTGAATTATGCTTATTCGCTGTCTTGCCAAGAGTTAGATGAGGAGATTGATTCAATGCTCATGTTTGTGTAGCTTAGTATATCAGCATAGCATATATTAGCATAGTATATTTGAAACAGGGGAAATAGCTAGGCTCTGTCTAAAGGTAGGAAACTCTGCCTACAAGCAGGTCTATAGCCCGCTAGCCAACACATTAGGTCTCATTTCTCATGTTTACACGAAAAAGAAAAGTGAAAAAACACCACTTGGGGTTTGATAGGAGCTCCAGTATATGCCACACCTTTTTTTTGGAAAGCTCAGTGTTTGACTTAGATATAGTCCCAATATTATTATTTTTTGGTTTTAGACATTTTTTATGATGCTAGTTGGTGAACAGTATAACCTTAGGACAGATTTACGCTAGATGTTTCCACTTGCTTCAGGCTTTGTGCTAAGCTAAGCTAACTTAAACATTAGTCTTACATTGAAGCTCCAGATATGAAGAGTCGTATCAATCTTCTTGGCAAAGTGAATAAGCTTGTTTTGATAAATATCAAACTATTCCTTTAATGCAGTGCTTCTCAAACTTTTTTCAGTGATGTACCCCCTTTGAAACATTTTCTCAGCCAAGTACCCCCTGACCGACCCCGAACATTTTTGATCGAAAAAGCCTATATAAATAATTACAATATAGTGATGTTCCCTCAGTGTGTGAGTTATGAACTCCTTCGTGCATGCATTACAACAAACTAAGGATATTTTCATCTTCATGCATGAAAAAAAATAACATAACGTAATATAAAAGTAATATTGTGAAAAACTATCAAATACAATACACACATTTGACATGTTTATATGAGGACTCCCTTGGTGGTTCTAGGAATATTTTATATAAAATTGTGTTTTCTATTTAACTTATTGTACTAAGATTATTTTTGTAATCATGCATGGTATTTTTTTAATTAACCTTTTTTTAATAATTTTTTTTAAATCTCACGTACCCCCTGCAGTACCCCAACGTACCTCCAGGGGTCCGCGTACCCCCATTTCAGAATCACTGCTTTAATGCACACAAGACATTTTGTATAGACTCTGAAATGGGGGTACGCGGACCCCTGGAGGTACGTTGGGGTACTGCAGGGGGTACGTGAGANTCAGGGCGATCAGCCACGACTCGCTTCAGTTCTCGAAGAGGCCTTCTCCAAGTTCTACAGCAGGAACGGTTCCCTCAACCCGGTGACGGTCTCCTCGTAGCGGTGGACTCCTCGTCAACAGGACTAGCTTTTGGCTCCGCCTCTGAGTTGCAGAAGCTTAGCGAGGACCGGAGGACGCCTTGCTCCGGCTGCAGGTCTGCTGTCGGGTCTCCTGGGGGGGAAAAGCTGCCACTGAGTGGTTGTTGCTTTCTATCTTATTTTTCTCTCCTCTCACACCAAACAGCGATCTGCTTCTCTTCTGACAGCAGGAATCCTAGTCGCAGCTTTAAGGAAAATACAAATGTTTTCACTTTTTGGCTTATCTCTTTCGGTTCTCAAGTAGCGAAGGAGGTAAGCAACATAAAACTGGATTACTGCAGTATTTTCCTTGAGTCAGTATTAAATTGTATTTTAAAGATTTGTACTTAAACTGTTAAATAGTTGTCTGTACAAAGCAAATTCTCTGTCCCGGCATACTGAAGTGTGTGTGTGTGTGTATTATGGTGTCGTAAGGTTAAGTCTGGTCTCTTTAAACTTTGAGCCGCGAGTGAGGCGGCGCCCCACCCGTTATCGGTTTCTGAAGGCTCGAATGCATTGAGCTCGTAATGCAGCAGATGCTACGTCACTTTTCATTTGAAAACATTTGATTATAGGACAAATTTAATTAAATGTGCAGCCGCAACCCAATCTGAAGAGCTACAGCTACGAGCTGAAAAAGAAGTCTATTTATTTGTTTATTTTGTCTTGAGTGTGTACTGTAATTCACTTCCAGCACTAAGGCCGGTGGTGGTTTGAATGTAAGCTTTACTTTCTCTCATCCTTTGATTCGCGCTATTATTTTCTATTGAAAAAAAAAGAGAGTGTGTGGGGGGGGGGGTTTGTCACCTGACTGTGGTCCAATGTCTACTGTAGCTTCAGTTTTCCAAGTAGCTCATTTCAGACTGAAAGATCGAGTTCAAGTCAATATAAATGTCTCTTTAGGGGACATTCACACAGGAGAATTCATGTGACGATATTTCACATTAAAGCAAATGATCTAAAGGATGTTTGTCATGAGGTTTGGGGAATGCATGTCTGCTGTTCTACGTCTAAAAAGTGATGCATTGGTTCAATTGTCTTTCAGACGTAATAAAGGAGTTTGGTCAGTTCAGGCCTGTCAACATTTAGATTTCTCTGAATCTTCAGTTCTCTTCATGTCTTCGTTGTTCTGTTGGACAGCTGAGCTATGCTATGGAGATGTTCACTTCTCTGCCCTTAAATGTTAACTGTTCGGGGATCTCTTTGCACTGCTGGACACTTTTATATCCTGTTGGAAATGTCACGTGGCCTCTTCGCAGTAGGAAGCACTTAGATAATGATTGAAGTGTCGGCAGTGATCCGGTCTACTCTCCGCTGTGACTGCCTTCTGGCGGTCTGTAGAGAAACTGGTGTGGAGCTGCCTGGCATGTTAGTAACCATCTTGTACACTTTATGCTGGACACTGTTCTGTTTCTGCAATGCATTTACCCCTTTTTTTCACTTCCTGAAATAAATATTTACACTATCAGCACTTCAGCTCTTTGTTTGGTGTCAACTTATAAGACGAAGGACATCTTTCTGATGCAGGAAATGCTGTTTGAAAGACTTTATACTCAACTGTGCGTGTTTTAAATGTGTTTCCTCTTGCAGGAAACATTTATATTGATAACATAATGAACACACAGACACACACATTTCAATTGTTTAAATTATTTATACAAAACCTGATGCGTCAGGGGTGCGATCTCTACCCTTTAGAGCATCACTATTTGAATTATTTGTTCAAAATGTTAAGAAATTGTAGCCCTTGTACAAGTATATTCATGTACATACTGAAAGTCACAATGTGTGCTCGATTAACAGTTGAATAAAACACATTTCATGCTGACAAAACACATCGCCGTACAAAATGACAGCAGTATAATAAAAGTACAGCAAGACTAAAAAATAGTTTTGATATAAAACACCCTAGAAAGACACTCTAAATAAAAAGCTACCAAAATGGCGACATCCAGATCATGAGTGTTTCCAGCTGCGTGGGTATTTTCAATTCTGTACCTTGTGAGTAGAAAATAAATCAAAGGAACTACAAAAACAGTACATAGCACTTCAATTCAAACACATTACTCTTTCACATTAAATTGTGTTTTACTTTCCTGTTTGAAAGTATATAGGCACAGTAATTAAATTCATGAACCACGTTTGGTCGACACCATTCCTCGTTATTAACAACTCCCCTGTCGCTCGGGGACAAAGTCACTATCACCGTTTCCATTGTTTTACGCCGGGAGCTGCCAAACAAAGAGAAAGGAATCGCCGCAAACTGTGATATCCGTTTCAACAATCAACATCACTGCACAATGTTCTCAAGAAACATCAAGATTTCAACCTGTTCCACAACAAAGACCCCTGTAAACGGCCACTGATTCCAAAATGTATACTTATACATACTCTTCTTAAGAATGTAGCATGTGGGAATTGTTCGTAATTATAAATATGCTTTGAGAAAATTCAGATTTAGTTTGGAGCATATATTTATGTTGTTATCCAATAAAGGTTTATTTTTATTCTTTAGATTCAAAGCAAGAACACAATCAAGGACTGACATCAATATGGTCATGTATCATTTCTATATTCACATTGAGTCTGAGAACATGGCTCAGCAGGGTATCTTAATATTTGAATTAGCTTTTCACAGAAGACATTATGACATGTCACAGCAGGAAAATAAATGAATAATGGCTGAATCCCATTAAGCAGTTTGAGTTTCATGGGTTTGTGCACGCTGACTCACTGTCAGGGCTAGAACATTTTAATAAAGCAGAGCCATTGTTCACGTTGTTAGTAACACCTCTGCTTCTCTTTTGATTCGTCTAAATGCCCGCTGTGAAAACACTTATCGGATGCTTTTATGAACTAATATTCATTTGACTCAAGGGGTAAACACGATAAAATAAATTAGCCCATGTTATTTTGATTGTAGTATCCAGCAGATGTATCATTGTACAAGTGATATTAAAACCTTGTAAGTATTATACTTTTGATTAATCGAAGTTTGAATCTGTGTTTTAAAGCTACAGTAGGTTTGTGGGTCTGCAGGGCAGCAAGATGTATCTTCTAGTACATTATGAACTTCAATTTCCCAAAAATCATTCCTTTAGATAAATGAACAGGGTCTGAATTTGAAGAAGTGTGCTTTTCTCTGATGCATCCCAACTAGAAAGTGTTAGCTGTATCTCTACATAAAGAGAGATATAGTATTTTGGAGTGAAACACTTGAACCCTTGTAAACAAATAATGTGAACTTGGTACCATCGGTGCAGCAAAAGGCATTCGACTTGTGGAGGTTCTTCCTGTTTCCACCGCTGGCTGGAAGTAGATGACTTCATGGTGTCATGTAGCTCTGTCCTACCAATCTGTGAGCTCTCCCTAGGATCAGACAAAGGTGACGACTTCCTTTATTTCTTCAGGCACTGGTACATGAGGGCTCGTGGGTTCAGCATGTAGCGCTCAGAGCTCAGTAGCTTGGTGAGATACTGCGGCACCGGGGGGCGAGGAGCCATGTAGGAAACCCCCGGGCTGACGGCCATCACCTCGGCGATCTTCTGCTTCATCTCCTTAATCTCCCGGTCCTGCCTCATCACTTTATCTGTTCGGCAAACACAGGAAATACATGAGGCTCAACACTGACGGACAGGTCTTATTTATTGACATTTAAGAGTATGAGTTTCTTTTTAACATACTATAATATGACTTTTTTTAAACATACTATAATATTACTTTTTTTAAACATACTAGAATATGACTTTTTTTAAACATACTAGACTATGACTTTTTTTAAACATACTATAATATTACTTTTTTTAAACATACTAGACTATGACTTTTTTTCGACATACCATACTAAGTCACGTATATGGCAGGCATACTATACGATGACCATATTTTTATAATTCCTTCATAATAAAACAAATATATTTTTTTTTTATAGTAAATATTTTCGCATAAAAATTATATTATAAAATTAAAAAAACTTTTCTTACGGGATACTATATTATAATTTTTTTTATTTTGTCTATAATATTTATTATTATTTTAATATGCGCACTATACTAAACCTTGTTTTTTTAAAATATAATTTTGCGAACACAGTAAACTATGATTTTTGTTACTATAATATGACAGTTTTCCTGACCTTCTGATGGCATACTATGACTGTTTATCCTAACTAACAGATACTACACTGATTTGTGAATGGCAGCCAAAGGTCATAGTATCTCAATCCTGCCTTCGAAATACTGTTTTTTGATCCAAAGATGAAGTTAAAATTGACGAGGTAAGGGAGAGTGAACCTTGAGCGATCTCCAGCTGCCGGCGAGCGTCTCCCAGAGCCGAGAACAGGTCCAGTTTGATGCGAGTCTCGGCACTCAGGTTGTACTCCAGATGTTGAGCCTTCTCCTGCATGGCCGACAGAGTGGACAGCAGCATGTCTGTCTCTTTCTCCACACAGCGGTACATTCCCAGAGCCTGAGACCAGAAACACATCGACAGTAAGAAGGTGTTTAAAATATCAAAACATCAATCCACCTTGTGTCATGAAAACGGAGGGATTCGATGCTTTGGTCTCCTAAGTATCTTTGGCTTTTTAAAAGTTTACTATGTGTCTTTTGAACTTAGGAAAGCAATGCACCTCAGAGAGCGAACAAATCCATAATGAATTGGCCATCAATTAGATTGAGATACTCTGACAGATGGTCATTTCTTTGTTGGCACCAGTTTTTAATGAACATTTGGAGGGAAGTGACCTGAAACGTTTATTAAAGCAGTGCAACATTTATATGAAAGACCTGACTTTGGTGTAAGCATGCTTCATGGAGGGAGGAGGGTATGTCACTAAAATGAAATCAAATACAACACAGTACGACAACGTCCACAGCTGAAGTGAAGACGACAAAAACAACCATTCACATTACTACATACTGACATGATGACAAAGTGCAAAAGGTTGACTGCAGGCCAAAATAAAAAGATGGTCCCGGCGGATAGATTTAACAAACACAAAGAATTACAGACATAAAAAACGGGATTTAAACAGCAAAACTACATGACCAAACTGAGGACAGGTACTGGACCACTTGAGACTCACAGACACTTAAAGTTCATTCCCAAATAGAGTAGACATATACCTCAACATCACTCTCTAGATCTAGCACACGACTCTCTTTGACTTGACACTCCAGCTGTAGTTGTTTGTACTCTGTCTCTAGATCTTTAACTCTTTTCCTTAACATTTGGGTTTCACAGTGTTCCTGCCTGGTGTAGGAGATGGAGAAAATAACAGTTTTCAGCGGTAAGAGAGGAGTTTCATTGGAAAAATACAAAAAGAAACATATACAATAAATATAGTTACATAAAATGCAAGAACATGTATTAACAGTCTGTACAAAATGTCCTGTGTGCATTAAAGCAGTGATTCTCAAATGGGGGTACGCGGACCCCTGGGGGTACGTTGGGGTACTGCAGGGGGTACGTGAGATTTAAAAAAAATTATTAAAAAAAGGTTAATTAAAAAAATACCATGCATGATTAAAAATATAATCTTAGGTTAAATAGAAAACACAATTTTATATAAAATATTCCTAGAAACACCAAGGGAGTCCTCATATAAACATGTCAAATGTGTGTATTGTATTTTATAGTTTTTCACAATATTACTTCAAATGAAAAAATCCTTGGAAAAATCTGTTTTATAAAAATTTCGTTATGTTATTTTTTTTCATGCATGAAGATGAAAATATCCTTAGTTTGTTGTAATGCATGCACGAAGGAGTT